AGAAACAAATGGGAAACAATGGAAGTTAGGCACGAGAAGCAGAACAGTCTAGGAGAAAAGTGATAACATCACAATCAGTAGGAATGCATACGAAGAACCATAACAATCGACCCCACAACATTCTGACCAGTGCACTTAGAAGACAACACCAGTAACCCTTGGGATCAGACCAGCGGTGTGAGAAATAGGTGAATTATTTGGAGGCACTACACTTACAAGGGAGGTCTTTCAGGTCGTGGCGCGCTTTTTGGAAATGGTTTGTTGCTTGTTGTAGGGGTCCATACAAGGATCACAAAAATGGGTTTCATTTTTGCTATGCGTTTCTGGGGAGGTCAAAAACTGAGTGAAAAAATTTGACAAGAATGGGCGATTTTAACTATAATGGGCTCCGTTCTGATTGTAACTTCGAGCATGCATAGTTTATAAGTTCACAAAGAGTCCGATCCACAACGTCCCGTATCGTTGTCCCATCCAGAATCCATCGAGTTATCCGCTGCGCCATCCGATCCGCCGACAGTGAGCATGAGGGGACCGCTGACAAAAACATCACTGTTGCGTCGGTGCATGCCAAGTGTGTTACTACATGATACTTACATTTTGACTTTATTTGAAACCATTTTCGAAGCCTAATTAACGAGCACCTCATAAACTATGCATGCTCGGAGTTACAATCAGACTGAGCCCATTAAGATAGTTAAAATCGCCCAGTCTTGTCAAATTTTTTCACTCAATTTTGACCTCCCCGGAAACGCATAGCAAAAATGAAACCCAATTTTGTGATCCTTGTATGGACCCCTATTCCAAAAAGCGCGCCACGACCTGAAAGACCTCCCTTGTTAGTCCATTCAAAGCAAACTGTGAGTAGTGCACAAGACTACCACAGGTTCGACCGATGAATGGCTATATCTCTACATCTGCTGATCTAAAAGCCACAAGGGATACCGGTACGGTAAACCGCAAACATAAACTACCCACAACAACTAACTCACTTCTACCTGTTCTTGTTGCAGATAGGCGACCTTCAACTGGTGTTTGCATGGTTCCGACAAATCGGCGGTCGTTCCAAGAACTTTATGTTCAAAACGCACTTCGGACAAGCAACGAATTATTTCACCCCTGAATGAGTATATTGGTTGAACTACATTCTATAAGGGAGATTTTAAAAGCACCGCATGGAACCAACGGAGAAATGAGGCGTGATCTTCGATCAAAATCGAAAAAAAACAAGCGCCATTGCAAGATATCGTTTTGATAAATGTTCATCATTGCACCGTTGCATTCACTAATCGTTGGACCGCTGCGACTGCTAATTCAGCCCCTCATTCAGGGACAGTCTATCGAGGAGAACAGATACACCTAAGTAATCCTACACTTTCTGCTTTTGTCCCTAGCGATACCTCTCGTACCTTCTAGCCTTTCAGCCATCCTTCCACAACCACGTGTGCTGATGGGAAGAGCAAGGTGGCGCCTATGATACTCTGTGCTGTGCTATATTCGCTTCGTACTTTCGGAAAGCAGAGATGAAGGGTGACAAGAGCCACAAAGAAGGCTGGCATAGACGGATGTAATGGCAAGGAGCGAAATGTCACTGGGGATTTCTCCCCATCAAGGGAAATTATAGCATACGGCCCCGGAAGAGAACTCCTCTCAACCATCTGCAATCGTCCAACTATCATCGGATAGCGCTGACTGCGAAATCGCTCGAGTCGCGAATTTTGAGGGTTGCGTAACTAATGGGACATAAAGGGCACTCTAACAGTGCTATAAGGGCATGATTCCATACTCAGTCATCCAAAACCAAACGCTCTTCTGAGACAAATGATGCATAAGGCAGCGTTCTGACTTTGCGGTAACGCGGCTTGACGCACTAACACTACAGTGGCGTTCTAATGTTGTAGACGGAAAAGAGCCGCAGACGGGTATTGACCGCTGCCGGGCGTTAGTGTTTTGAGAATAGTTACGATAGCAGGAGGGTAGGAGCTGCCTTTACACCCCTATTCGACCCACGTCAATGCGAAGTCTGAACGCTGCCGAGCATGTTTGTTAATATGGATATCACACCACTCACTTGTCGTTGCCATGATCGGGGCAGTGCTTGTCGATATCGGCAGAGCAAGCTTTTTCGAACTTATAAGAGAAGTGATAATCTCGGAGAGAGATCAATTCGAAGTGGTTTACATACGAACGACATTTCGACGTCATTTCCGGTTGGTCCTAAATTTTCTTTTGTAAACTCTCCGACATTAAGTCAAAATGAGCCATGAATTGATTACATCTTTCGAACACGTTCTCAACAAAACTACATACCTTGTTGTTAAGAAGGCACTCCATAACATCACCATGATCAATTTCTTCATTTGCGAATTGCTGAAAATATACTTTAGGATTCGATATAGCGTCAGAATACTGAACTTCATAGTGGTAATTTCTTTAGCTTCACTGACCTCACAGTGAGCTTTAATGACAGCGTTTAGGCAATGCCTTTTGGTCAGCGCTCTGATCATTTTGTGTCTGTCCCTACGACTCCATTTCGTGAATCGTGTAATTGCTGTGTGACAGTATGGGATGTCGCTTGAATGAACTTCTTTGCTTCTCGAGTTCGTCTTGAAGCAGGTCCCATCCTCCTGAAACTCGCAATGTGAGATGCCTCCAGCATGAAGTGTAAATCGAAGTAAAAAAAAACCGCTCTGAAACAAAGCTCAAGAAGACTAAATGGATCCACGAGCCGTGAAAAAATGCTAATAAAAACAAATCCTGCGCAGCTAATGCCTATTCTAGAACACCACCTCAGAATTCCTACCTGAAAAAATGGCTATGTGGCAATGCCGTGGAATAGGATGACTTGCTCACAACACACGTCGAGAATTAATTTTTTGTGGTGATAAAACGACGACATGGACGCCACGAAAGAGGTTATTGGTGCTCAAACTCATCCTCCGCCATAGTGAGGAGGGTGAGGAACGGCCTCAGTGAGGTCACTTCCTGACTTCTCAACCGAAAATCCCGAAGTGTTAAGACAAATGGAATCTACGAAACCGTATACATGGCGAGCTTTCATTCTCAAAATATGAGAAATGCATTACAGACATGGTACAATAGTAATGCAAAGTAAGTCAAATAAATAAAGCCCATACGACAACACTGACCTCCATTGGCTTCACATTGTTAGAACAGTACTCCGGACAACGCTTCTCGGCAGGCATCTTCGATGTCAGGGATGAGATTCACGCGGACTGCGCGTGTGTGCAGGACTCTTCTGACCTCCACACCGCACTTCTTCGACAGCTGTAGAAAACAACGAGTATTTCATCAAATAACCCCTTTGGTAAGATTTACGGATGGAATAAATGTCACTGCACTAACGAGGATTATCAACGGTAATTGAAAGCATAAGTTCTCATTTGATCTAGAAAACTTAAAGGCAGCGCCCTCGCTCACATTGAATGTTCCTACGCCCTTTCTGGATATCATAGCCCCTCCCCATAAGGATGCAGTATGTACTAGTTTTGCATCTCACAAAGGCGAGAGGATAGCGCCTATCGCTAGTAAAGAGTCGACCGCCCCGCCCACCTGGCGACCACGACGCCCAACTTCATTTCTAATGGTTGCCTGATGGTGCGGTTGTTCTGCTACTAACTCTCTCCACTTCGAATGGTGAGAGTGAGGTGATAAGGGAAAACAGCTGATACCAACAAGTGAGAACTCGTGCGACCACATTCTCTTCGCCTCAGAAGTGAGGGCAACCGTACAAACCGCTATTTTCTGTCATGAAGCTCCTTATGGGCACTTTGCATGCTTTCTTTTTGAATTTTCCTCACTAATAGTTTTTCTTTCTACCGTTGCTGTACTAACTGATGCCGCATACTGCATCAAAATTTGACGCGGGCGCTGCCTTAAAAACTTCGTTCTATGGAAGCTTACTATCGTAAGATATGCATTCATTTAGATAAAGGGAGACGCTCATACCATCTATCACGTCTATACTGGGCAATGTTTACAATAGAGCTGACCACTGCACGCTGTAGGTTGGGGATGTCCAGCGAGGGGATAGTACATGGTCGCTGCAGCTAAAGGGGAGCAAGGAGGAAGGGGTATCCAATTTGGAGAACTTCCTCAGGTTGTTGACCGTTCTAGCTTTTTCCTGGCTCATGTGCGCTATCCTCGCCCCCACCCCGGCGCTCGTCAGGCGGTTTTTGGTGAAAGCGAAAAATCTGAAAAACTAACGGGAAAAGTGGTTGGAAGTTGGAAGAACTGTAGGGAGAAACTTCCGATTTATCCACACAGAATGATGGTTGGTAGGATGAAGAACGGGAAAAAAAGGGGGGGAGGTCGTAGCAGAAGAGGAAATTCTGATGGAGGATCGTATTTTGCAAAAATTTCACTCCTTTCACGAGAACGTGCCCCGATCCTGATGCAACAGCTTGGATTTACATCACTTAGTCATTACTGCTGGCTAGCCCTGCTGGCCAAAAGAGGAAGCCATAGAGCTATCAACAACGCTTGCGAGTATGACAAGTTATTAATCAAGCAGCAGGCACAGTACTCAATAGACCCATAGAATAAAAGCGAGGTACTACATTCTGAAAGTTGGATTTAGGGCCCTATTAGGCTAATATAACGGGAAAGAGTGCTGCAAAAACTCGTGGTTCTCTTTATAGGCCCTGAGGTGGTAACAATCTAAAAAAATACAGAAAAAGCGGTTGATTCTCACCGGGTTTTCTTCATCATATGCGGATCTGTACAAACAGGCGAGAACTGATGGACCTGGATCTGGTCCAGTGCCCGCCATATGCCAATTCGATGGTGCATGACATCTGCAACGAAAAGGTTAGGGTTTTCTTCGATCAGAAATTAAATAATAGCGAACAAGGTGAAAGGCACGGTCCGCGTTCATTTGATGCGCCTTATTGGAACATGACAGTCCTGTCTGCAAGTG